GCCCCAAATTTTCAAGTATTTTATTTACTAAATTTTTTATTTTGTATTAATCAAAAACATAACTGCCATTTACAGTTTCTGATTAGTGTGTGATACCAGTGTTAACAGACAGAACTGAAAAAAAATACAGGTAAAATGCATGGAAATGTAATGTCTTAGTTGGCTTGCACAGCAGGGTTGTGGGCTGAATGAATGATTTCTAGTACATTTTCTGAAATGTTGGAAAGTTTCAAGGATGCCCCCACTGCTATGTTTATCTTCCCCAAGTTGGGAACCACTGGTTTACATCCACCTGCTTTCCTCCCTAAATCAAGTATTAACTAACACAATAACCATGTTTAACACATAGGGGATTGATAAGAAATTTTACTATTGAAAACAGAGATTAACTACAACATTCATTCTGTAGGGTTTAACTGAGAAAACGTATCACAGATCTAAAGAAATCTATTTAGGAATTAAAAAAAAAACTATGATATCCAGTATACTTTTCAGTCAACTTCAAAAGCACATTAATATATGAAAAAAATCCTCAATTCACCTGTGAGGTAGGTCCAGATTATTGTCCCCACTTCCACAATGAGGACATGAGGTACAGAGGAATTAAGCAGCAGAGGCTAAGAATTAAACCAGAAGTGACTTGGGTTTGAATTCCATACCTCTTTCCTTTCCATCTAATATGATCAATTTATTCCAACAGATCCTTTTGAGGGTATGGACCTTAATAAGACACTGAAGTAGATGTTGGAGAGGATATGAACTTTTCACATCAATGTCAAAGTGGATCCTCCCATATCTCCATTGTTGTCACAGCGATAATTCTTGCCTGGATACCAACTACACTCCACTTAGGCAAAGCCCACAGACCTCAGTCATCAGTTTCTAGGGAAACTACATTCATTTCCATCACCACGGAAGGATTGAGGTCTAGCAGGTGTCAGGTTTTTTTGAGTTTCTGTGACAGAAACACACCAGCTAGGAGACAGTTGGTAAATCAAACTTTAACTTTGTGCAAGGCACTGTGAGAGTTTCCACCAACGGTAGCAGATCTGAGAAAAAATATTCTGATATTCTGTAAACATTCCCTAAGGATTCCTAGGATCACAGGATGTTTAGTGATCTCTAATTTTCTGTCCAGCTCTAGGTTCAACCCCAGGTTTTACAGATGAAGACTGATGTGTAATTTAGATGATTTGTCTGGAGCCTACTGTATTAGATCATTTCCTCGCATAATATGAATCTGAAAAAAATCCACAGAAAATGGAGCATATTCTCAGGTTGCCATCATCTAAATGAAAAGGCTGGCTCAGAATCAGGAATGGGAAATTTAGGACAAGAATATACATAGATATGTGGTGTGTATGTGTTTATGTACATCTCCTTGCTTTTAGTCCATGTATTAAATCAACAGGCATTATTAATAAAACCTATTCCTTTCCTGTGGAAAATTTTCCAATAGTTCACCATTGAAGGAACCTGAAATATTTTAAAATTGTTGCAAGATGGATTTTTTAAAAACAGCTTTTATAGGCATAAAAATTTCAATGAATTGATCTATCAATTTAGCAAAAGGTACTTCCATAATGTGAAACTGCTCCAATTAACCTGATAGAGTAATTTCGATATCCTCCTATATCAATATAGTCAATTCTGATGGAAATAGTTTTGGGGGGCTTTATGGTCAAGCAGTGAAGTTTGATTATTTTTGTTAAGTGGAGGCTTTATTTGTAAACAAAATAAAATGCTAATAATTTTTTAAAGGACTTACACATTTGACAAAACCCTATTTAGTTAAGGGCTTATACATGTTATGGAACTTAACTCAAATTATGAAAAAACAATAACACATTTCATTGCAAATGACAGAGTACTAAATATTCACACAGTTTAACTGCTCAGACATTAGTGTTTATAGGTCATAATATGAGTAGCCTGTGCATTAAACAGTTAAGTGGGTTTTGGTGGGGCTTCAACCAAAAGTAAATTGTTCTTCCAAAACCATGCTAAATCTCATGTTTACTAGCATTAGAATTATACTAGTTTTTTTTTAAGTGAGTGATATTTTCTGCAATATTTTGTCATTAATATTAACACATAATTGGAGGAAAATAGAGAAACAACAGAAATAATAGAAGTGAAATATGCTATTGAAATATTTTTACACGTAGAAAAGGAGGTTTTAAATCTAATGATCTACTAATTCACCTATTTTGCTTCCTTCAACATAAAATGTTATCTTTGTTCAAAATAGACAAGGCACTTCTCCATCTACTTCTAATGCTTGACTACAATGATTTTCCCCCTTAAAATTAACAGAGGGAAAGAAAGGAACAAAAAGTAGCTGGAAAAGATGAAAGATTATTATATCTTATATACAATTTAGGGACTTAAAAGGGTAATGGGGTAGAGATGTATTAAAAAAAGTTAGCGAAAGAACAGCTTTAACTTGTGGCCTCAAAGCTTTGTTAGATTTATATACTTTGGCTTAATACACTTTATTTTCTCTGGAAAACTGCCGTAGCAGTTTTCATAAAGGAGTATTACACAAGAAAGAAATTAAAAATGACTTTTGTTAGTCTAAAAACAACTTTCACAAAATTATTTTACTAACTTGATAAAAAATATCCAAGTATGTTCTATCCTGAGGATAGATGGGAGATTAATGACCACAGTGTACTCTGCCATTTTAGAATTCACTGCTGACAATTTTCTTGAAAAGAAAACAAACCCCCAAAGTACTCCAAAATACCCAATGGCTACAGCTTTGTCTAAGGGAAAACTGTTTGAAAAAGCAGTCATACAACAAAGAAAATAAGACATTTGGGTATTTTCTGAGTAGTTTGTGAAAATCAGCTGAGTCAACCAGCATAAGGAACATTAAAATGATCAATTCAAGAATAATCAGAATAGGTTTTAAAATGACGTTTACACATGCTGGCAAATGGTTTTCTATTACAAATACTACCATAACTTGAATTATACTTTCTAACTACCATATACACCCTATTCCTGTGCCTCAGTATTTGTTTCATGGAAACAACTGACCACTTTTTGCTGTTCTTGAGCAAAACCAAGTATGATTTATACACAGCAAAAAAGCCATATGACCATCATATGGCCAAATTCTACATTAACAGAAAAAAAAGACTTTACATTTCATATACAGAAGTAATTATTTTACCAGTGACAATGATAAATTTTGTATTATGCTGGGAATCAATTTTGGTACTAACCAGTCACAGTTTGAAGCATAAAGACCTGGTGATATAAGCTGGAACATGAACCACAAATACAATTTGCCCTGACCCTATATAATAAGACATCTAGTATGCATTTTCAGAGATTTCTACCTTGTCTATAAAAATACACCTTCAGTTTTGCAGCAGACAAATGTTATTTGCAGGCACACAAAATATATTTAAAATTAGAGCTTCTGGGTGGCTGGATGTCACATGGGCAATAGGGTTCTACAGAGAGAGGTGGAAAAGTGTTCGTGAAAACAGTTACAGTCACTTATCAAATAATGTCTCTCCCCCCCCTTCTTTTTCTGATACAGGACTGTGAATTTTGAATTAGTTATAATTTTTAAAAGAGTCTTTAAAAAGGCTTGAACTTGAATGAACAAATCATTATTCTCTTCACTGGGATGTATGTTGGCTTAAAAAGTTTGCTAAAAACAATAATAATAATGTAATAAATAAAATATTATTCAACCCTAGTCTCCTTTATTTTTAGTACTATGAGCCACAAATAATGCTTGCATATAGGTATACATTTATAATTGAATTAACATTGTGTAAAGCTTTCATTATGTTAAAATTTCAAAACCTAGAAGAATTAGTTCTCACTCATTTTGCTTGTGAAGAGAAATATGCACATATCAATGAAAAGGCTACATGTGTGGTGAATTTATAAACTAATTTTGTTTAAATATCTCTTTCTTCATTAATGATATCCAAGTATTTTCAAAAAGATCCTCAAAAGAGGACTGTGAATATTTTAATAACTGTAAATCTGCCACTATATATACTTTTTAGGTTCAGTTTCTCAAATACTTCTTTCTCAAAGTAGAAGTAACAGAATATCCAGAGCTGTGGCTTTCATGGGGGGGGACCCTAAGACACCTCCAGAGACAGCTAAAATCTTGAAACATCCCTTAAAGGTCCTAATTATGTATTTTCAAAGGGGGAAAGGATATATAGAGGGAAGTAAATGAGGATAGTGAGACTGTGAAATGTGTCTGACAGTTAATGGATTTTTTTCAAGGTGAGAGTGAAGGACAAATGGAATGATTGAATTAAATGGAAAAAAATGAGGTTCTTGATTTCAGGTGCAGTGCAGAATATTTCAGACAATGATTTCAATTTTAATCCACTTGTTACAAAGGGCAACCTACCCTTACACCTGAAAATTTTAACATGTTTCTTATGGTTTTGCTATAAACATCATGTCTATACATTCAAAAGGATGCTTGCAAACTTCATTCATATTAAAATCTATGCAGAATTTTGGCAATACAGTATGAGTAATATTACATTCTGTAAACCATGGCATATCACATTTTACATTATGCAAACAGATAATATTTACAAGTCTCTAGAAGTTTAAATACTTATCTACTAACATAAGTGATAGCAAAGTGCAGGACAAAAACAGTGCTATTAATTGCATGTCCTTTAAAAGCAGGTAAGAGTAAAACCATTTCTAAAACCTACCAAAAGCTTATTTACGTGTCCAGTAGGGATTACAGAGCATGAAGTTGCCTAGAAAAATGATGCATATTTAGAAACAGTGAGTATGAAAATTATAAGGCAGCATGCTCAGAACAAGTTTTTGTTTTTTAAACACCAGCACTGATGTTTAATCTTCAGTGGCAACTATATAAATATATACACATATATATGTATGTATACATACACATATATGTATGCATACATACACATATATGTATATACATACATACACACATGTGTGTATTTAAAAATTGAGAGTGCAAAACACAAGCCTCATTTAACAACAAAAAAAGATGTGCAAATTTTCTTCTTAAACACAAATAAAAGAGTGAGGAGAATATTCTACCATTATAAAGAATAAGTTGAACACAGCAAAGGAGGCCATCTTCATTCCAAAATCATCTACAAGGCACTAAGGGTAGGAAATGACAGGTAACATAGAAGTGACTGAATAGAATTCCTCAGTCAGGTCGGAAAATGGGATATTTTGGTAAGAATTCTATTAGTATTACCTGTAAAATAAGAACAAATAAGAATATATTGATAATTTTCAGTTATTATAACATATAAAACAGAAAGTTTTATAATTTTCACAGGATTATATTTTGATTCTGTACTATAAATTAATAAAATACAGCAATTATAAAAAGAACTTATCACAAGTTATCATTAGATTGACAAATTAAATTGGCAAACATAACTTTGTACAGCAGATAACAGCTTTATTACCTGATTTATCATAACTATTTGTTTAGGGACAGAAAAGCAAATCCTACTGCATTATCTTATCCTTCCCAAACTTCTTCCCTCCTTTTATTTTTAGCAGAGTGGAAGGGATTAAAATTATGTTATATAGATTAGAAAAAATACCTTTACCAAAGCAGCTGATAATGGCTGAGTATTACTATCTTTGACCAGTTTTTGTGAAAAAATACCAAAATGTCCTGATGAATTGATTATGACATTTTAAAGACAGATTTGAAATGAAATAAAAAACTAAGATACTTATAGTTAAATAAATTTATGTTTAGTATGTAGTTTATACATGAAGCTTGACATGTAGAAACTACATATGTAAAATATACACAGTATAGCTTATATGAGATATATAGTTTATATGATATATATGATACTTCATATGTAAAAATGGAAATTTTCATAGTTTATGTAAGGTTTCATCTGTAGTTGATTTTAAATTTGTGATCATCTGCACATTTTCCTCAAACTGTTTAAAGTAGAACAAGAATTCATGATGTTTACTTCTGAAGTTGAACTTGAATGTTTATATTTAAATATATACTGCATGTCAGCAACTTCAATCATGGATAAATTTTTGAATGTTCAGATTTATCACATTGGCTATATGTGAATCTCATGTTTTAGGATTAAGAATGCATCATCACTTTCAGTAAAAACAATTAGAACCTATAGTATCTTTATATAAGTTAATTGTCAGCTAAGGAAAAAAGCCAGAAATATAAAGTCAGAATTCAGATATCAACTACTATTTCATGCACATTAAAAAAAATAATATAATAGTTTATTTTTACATCATTTTGTACATTTTTTCTCATCTCAGTTGTAATCCCTGTGGGCTTCCCATCACCAAATCACCCATGTGCCATCACCATAGTCCAGTGCATTTCCCTCCCCCCACT